AATAACAAGCTTTTATGTACTAATGCACTAAAAAGTAGAAAATAAATTATAGACTACTATTTAAATTACTATAAAGAAAAGCGTGGGTCTCTTCTCAAATATTAGTAAAGGTATCCAATAGGTACTAAAGTAACCCACGCCTTTTCTTCAAAGTAATTTAAATAGTAGTGTATAATTTATTTTCTACTTTTTAGTGCATCATTACATAAAAGCTTGTTATTAAAACGTTTTTTATGAACTTTTTTTTATGAATTTTATTTTAACTCACTTCCTCTGTCGTCAGTCTGTCTAGATCGAAACGCTGGAGTGAAAATTCGGTCACTTCTACTTGACCGATACGATTCACATTTGACACGTGGGTCAAGACATGAAGACAATGCAATCTGAAACTAAATTTGACTTAATTGGATGCCTAATTAATTTTTTATGAATTAATTAAAATTTGGACCGAATTAGTAGGCATGTCTATCCAACCACACCACACGCGTCATCACGTTCAATAGCTGCGCCATCACGTTCAGTAGGCGCGCAATGGTTTTTAGTCATGTAACTCTATTGTAAATAAAACATATAAAGTACTGAGAAAAAAATTCATAAAAAAACGTTTTAATAACAAGCTTTTATGTACTAATGCACTAAAAAGTAGAAAATAAATTATAGACTACTATTTAAATAACTTAAAAAAGCGTGGGTGTCTTCCTTAACATTAGTAAAGGTATCCAATAGATAGATACTAAAGTGACCCACGCTTTTTTAGCGCAATTTCCATTCTGGAGAATTGCGTTTATTAACCCGTCATTTCTGGATGTATGAATGTATGTGTGTCCGCAGCTTTAAGTCGTATCTCCTCCTCAACGAAGCAATATCGAGGACTAGTTCCAAAGCAATTATGTTAAGCAAGTTACGAGGATGAACATAGGCCAAAAAAATTCCGGGTTTCATTCATGGATTTCCCGGAAAAGCAAAAAAAACCTCGAAAAAATGCCGTTTTTGGCCCATATCTCGGCAACCAGACCACTTAGCGACTTGAAACATGTACCAATCGATTCCTGCCATAATTTAGAACAATATTGCCGAAGAAAGTTTTCAAAAATATCCTTTCGTTCGGTCACAAATTTTTATTGAATTAATTAAAATTTGGACGGAATTAGTAGGCATTTTTATCCAACCACACCACACGCGTCATCACGTTCAGTAGCTAGGCGCGCAATGGTTTTTAGTCATGTAACTCTATTGTAAATAAAACATGTATTTTAACCAATGGTTTTACTAACCATGCTCTTGATTTACGCTACGACAGAGCTATTTTTAGATAACATAAGGAAATCGCGCTAAAATTGTCACTAGACTTTTTAATTACCTTGTTTTATAGTTATTTAAATAGTAGTTTATAATTTATTTTCTACTTTTTAGTGCATTAGTACATAAAAGCTTGTTATTAAAACGTTTTTTTTTAATGAATTTTTTTGTACAATTACAGTGACAAAATAAAAACAACCAAATTTTGTGTAGTAAATTACTATAAAATAACATCAAATATTGTCCAATGTTTAATTGTTTTTAAGTGAGACAAAAACAAAAAAGCAGTTTTTATAGCCATATTTATTTTAATAGCATCGTACATTATTTGGCATTTCGACTAATTTCGCAACTTTTCTTGTTTTGTTTTTTTTTCATTCTGAAAAAATGAGAAAGTTCCCAAAAAAATCAAGGCAGAGTAAATACATATCCAAATGATAGCTGGATAACAAACTAGATCGTGGACTCTAGATGGAGATTAATTATCTCTCTAAAGATCAGGACAATTCAGTCTACAGTCGGGATTATAGGAAGAATACTCAATACCAGAAAGTACATTTTGTTGGAAAACTTAAGTTGACTTAAGGATACATAATAATATAGATCTAAATATTTTTCATTCATATGTGGAGTAACAATGCCATCAAAACTCAGTATGGGTAAAAAAATAATTAATTGAAAATTATTAACTTGGGTTAACAGCTACATCGATAGGCGGTAAAAATCACGATATAGCGACTGAAATTATCTGGTGTAGAATTTGTGACAACAATAACAGTGAATAAAAAGCTATGAAAAAGAAGGCATCACAAGGCACTTATAAAAATATAACTTTGAAACCCATAAAAAAAGAAAACGGGGAAAGGAAGATTGAGCAAAAGTGAAAACAATAGATTTGGTGATGGTTGTTTTTAAATAATGTCTTCATTTTTGTCTCAGCAGACAACGGATGCACCCAGAGAATAGAAATCCAAGGGGCACGTACCAGGGCGTTATGATTATAATTATAAAAGAGATCATGACTTGCCCGTGAGTCGCGACCTGTCTCTACCGTGGCCGGTTGAGTCCAAAGCAATGCTAAGCAACACGTTTTGAATTGAACCAGCATTAGTTGAAGGAAAATTTGACCGAAAGGAAACCAAGAGTTGGTAATTATATCACCTAAGGCCGCCTAGGGGGTCCCACTCATGTTTGATTTCGAAGTTTTCTATCCTATTGCATTATCATTAATTGATTAAAAAAATGTTAGTTCTGTAACAAAAAAAAAAACAAAGCTTATTTAATTTATTTTTAAAACCACTGAATCCAAATAAGTGAATTTTAAAAAAAAATTTCACAACCACACACACCATTTGAACGGCATGGTCAGATGACAGATAACAAGGATGTTAACCTGAAAGTTGCGCATTCAGATCTAGGCTCGAGTCCATACATTACCTTTTAAAGTCAACCCAACTCTGATGGGTATCTGACGCGTTAGGGGAGATTGCTGACAGGTCATATGGGCGAATTCTACTTCATATGTAGTATGGATTGGCAGGTCTGAAAGGTTATGTTTACACTCAAACCATTCAGAACAACTAACTATAGATATACACATAGTGATTTGAAAAACACTGTTGAAATTAACAAGTAAATGGTATTAGCATCCACACATGAATCATATATTAAAACATTATTTACTTTTTAATGTTAATACTTAGATCTAGTAAAAAATATATACACGAATGATAGAGTGACAGTTCATACATTTAAAACTAAAATGCTGCCAGAAAAGTAAATAAATGAGCATAGGCATGACATTGGCATATCACTAAACATGACTAAAGGTGAGAAAAATGGAATCATCATAGTTCTGTCATTGAATGCATGACTTGTCCTGGTTAACCATGTTTGTAATAGGTTGGTCAGACTGCAGCCAAGTGAGGGGAGCAAAGTTTAAATAACACTGCTACTTTAAAATTATAATTAAGCAATGATGTTCAACTTTCACCCACATGCTCAATTAAAACAATGAGTTCTCAAGGAAAAAATTTCTGAAATTTACACTTTTTGTAATTTATTTTCTACTCTAGTACCAGTAATGTTGTCTCTAGTACAGCGGTAATGTTTAGCAAAAAAGAACATTGCACTTGTTTTAACTATTTACTTAAGTATCCAGTCAAAGACACCCCTAATTCAGAGGCGTAGCGACCCTTCCCGGGACAAACTTCAATTTGGCGCCCCCTTCGGGATCATCCTTTCAATTTTCAATTTGCCCCCACCCCCCCCCCCCCCCCCCCCCCCACTCAAACTTTCGATTTGCACACACCTCATAATATATATTTTTAAAAATATTTATAAAGCAAAAATGCAGCTAAAATGAGATTTTAATTTGTTTTTCCAACCCATTTGGGCGTCCCCCTAAGGTCGGCGCCCGGGGACATATGTACCCCCCTGCCCCCCCCTTCGCTACGCCTCTGCCCTAATTTAATACAATACCCCGCTTTTGTAATTAAGTTGGATAATTTTAAATGTTCGTTAAATACCAATTTCATCATGAGATAACATATTCACTGCTAAGAGTTTTAAAATATTTTATTTAACTACAGTGGTACCCCACAGATCCAGTACAAGATGTACAGGCTGTCTGTTATTTCTTAGAGTCCTCATTTGGATACATTTGAACTTTCTCGTATCCAAAGTATAGAAAAAGTATTGTACGCGCGCAAAAATTCGAAATCGAGATTTTCAGAAATGTCGACATTTTAACACCCCCCCCCCCCCCCCCCGTCGGAAAAGACTGCAAATTGTCTGCATGTCTGTCTGTAAACACGATATCCTGAGTACCGTTTCAGATATGTTGATGAAATTTCATTTAATTATTTTATCAAATGTGTAGTTGTGTAAGCTTTTGAGAGATTTCCGGTAACCAGAAATGGTACTTACTGTACTTCTAAATCCAATAACTTGTTTATATAAAATTATGAAACGATTTTCGAAAACCGAAATTGAGACTTAGCTTATTTCCTTGTGAAAACTTAACTATAGTACTTTTTCAGTTAGGTAGACGAAATTTCATATATAACGAGCCGACCCGCGGCATATCATACGCCGCTATTTAGTTGTTTAATTTTCTACTTTTCAGTAATTCATAATTTGTGAATTCGACAGTACCAATGCTGCCACTGAAAATATTTGCTTTAAAACACCATCAGAACGTCGTTAAGGACGATACTACCCCACCCTCCTTTCCCCTAACCCCTACCCTACCCCCCCCCCCCCTGTGAAAGCAGCCTCCTCGTAGTTACCTCCCCTAAGTTTAAAATCGTTTCAAACTAAATTATCTGCCCCTAATAGGCGTCACTAAACCCGGCTCCACGTTTGTAAACATTTAGCGTGAACCACAGCTCACCAGACTTCCTAGAGAGGAAGAGAGGGGACTGCAAGGCGCGCTTACAGCTTGTTTACTTCAATCTTTAGTGATCTCCAATAACCGGAAGCGGTACTTCACTCTATTTCTGGTTTCTAAAATACCAATATCTTAAGTACCGTTTTCAGTGTTAATTCTGTAACATCTCTCTTCTAGATGGTACCACTGTAGTTTCCAGAAGCTATTTATAACAAGGCAGAACAATGAACCTCAGTAAAAACACTGTCGATCTAATTGCTGTCTCAGTATAAATGTTAAAATAACGTATTAGTAATGAAAATGTTCTAACCTACTGCACATGCAAATCTTTAATCAATTTGATATTTTACTATAGAGATGTCCAGTCAGTTTCCGGATATCCATTGTAGAATGCATTAAAAAGACAGCAAAATGCAACAAAAGCTAAGTAAAATGCAAGAGTTATCCAGCCCAGAGTTTTCTCCCAAGTCAACTTGTTAACATTTTTCAGAATTACAATGCCCAGAAATACACCTAATTGAAAAAGAAAAACAATTTAAAATATTTAAATATAAGCAATAATAATTAAATAAAATAATTAAGTAATAGGTAGTTTTTTCAGAGAAAAGTTACTTAATTGTTTAACACCCACTGCCAAATTTTACATTACAAGCAATACTAATAGCTAATTTCACTTTCCTACTGACCCTTTATCCTAACTAGCAAAATGAATGTTACAATATTTAAAATCCACAAGCTAATGTAATTTATTTTTTAAACCAAGATCATATTAATGACTTGTTTCCCACTAAAGGACAAAAAGATCTGCGTGTCACAGCATCAGCCATTGCCTACTGTTTAGACTAGTGCTGTTTATTTCTGACAATCACATGGATTTATTCATAGTTGAAGAACAAACACAAACATTTAACCTAGATTTATTTTTCATCTGTCATTTTGCAGTTTTGATAAAAATGCCCCAATATTATCATAAAAAGAGATAATATTCATTTATTTTCCCCTCAAGCTTCAGGTTATGCCTACTTTGCTGTTCAATATATATATGCTAGGTATGTAACTCTCTCCAACCACTCTGTGGTTCAAGTATATCAAAAGGTCTTGTTTCCCTTGCACTTCCAAAACAACTATTTCATCTTTCAATTCAAAAACATTATTTACATTTCCTTTTGACAGGCACATTTCTTTAAACAAACGGGTTGCATCTTTACTGCACAGGACTCTTCAAGAATTAATTTCACCATCATCAACATGTAGTGTTTGATGAGATTTTCTATTGTGTGAGGTTTTTTTTTTACTTGGCAATTTCTAATGCGACTTCATATGATCTTAGACTAATGCTGTGTTTCCTTGGTGAAATCTTCCTGTTCGATCAAGTCTCTGACATTTGCAACTAGCTTCATGCCGATGAAAGAACTCAATGTCTTTTTTGGTGTTCCGATTGACTCGTCTCAAAATGACGTTTTGGTTTTGAAGGTTTCTTCATAGACTCATGACTAAGAACAACTTTGCACAGTACACATTGTTTCTTCTCTATTCCATTTCTAGTGATGTTAGTAGAACCGAATTTTAGATATTCTTCTAAATACCAGTTGGTGACCTCCCTTCTGGGGGTTGCGACCCACAGTTTGGGAACCCATGATCTAACCTAGTTCAACAAATGCATGCATGATTCATCTGACTTTGAAAAAAAAATGGCTAAAGATATTGGAAAAAAAGGCACACAGTAAAGTTATAATTTGCTTTAAACTGCGCCATTATAAAGATTGAATAAAAATAAAGCGAGAGTGATCTCACCTAAATTCTCTCGCATATTCTTATATAACAGTAATGGGGATGGCACTTCCCATCCTACTGGGTTTTACAAATGTATTTTTTTTTTAAATTAATTTTTTAATACTTACATTCTAAAAACAAAATAAAACCAAGTAGAAAAAAAATAGCACACTAATTGAAAGCCACTTAGGTGTGTATAATTATAATAGAGCGGAAAAGTAGTACTTAATAAAGGAAACAATACTTACATGTTTTTTTTTTGAGAAATCGGAAATAGCATAAAGTACTAAATCTAGGTCTACTTCCTGTCACCAGATATCAATTAAAAATTGATAGAATAAAGTACTTATACCTATGTATAAAATGTAATCTGCCTAACTGAAACTACTTTTTCGAGACCAGAAATAGAGTATTGTACCACTTCCAATTTTCGGAAGTCAGGCAAAAATTGAAAGTGATCCAGTAATAAAATTATATATGACATTGTCTTCTTAACTGAAACAATATGTGTTCCCACAAAAATACAGCAAAATACCACTTCTGGTTATAGAAAATCGTTCTAAAGTTGATACAGAACTACAAATTCAATATAGTACCTATACATGAAATTTTGTCAACATAACTGTAACAATACTCAAGTTATTGTGTTTACAGACAAAATTGCATACTAAGTTCTCCAACAAAGGGAGGTGTAAAACATTGAGATTTTTGAAAATCTTGATTTTGTTATAACTATAAAAGAATGCAGTTACATATTTGAACAGACACTGGATGCAAGCTTGGTTTTATTATTCTGTGGTTAAATCAACATCAGTTTATATTATTCTTGGGAACTGATAAACTGTTAACTATTAAATAAGTGTGTTGTCTAAAATGATGTTATACTGCTGTGGTTGGGGGAGGTTATGAAAATGTGTGAAGGCCACTGTTAGGTATTACTTTTGCATTAAAATAAGCTGTTCAGAAACTGAATTAGGAGTAGTTTTCTTTAAGACATTTTTATGAAGAATAAATAAATCTCACTTTCATGTTTTTACTTTGGAGCAAAAATTTAGCATTAAGTTTGACTATTACTAGTTGTGATTATTACAACTTGTTAAGTGATAAATAATATGATGTAATAAGTTGTTTGATTAATAAAACGTCAGACCACTGAGTGTTAACTTATAAGTAGAGAAAATCAAGCCATTGGTACAATTAAAAATAGTTTTTATATAAATAGGCCTGCATATCAATGTTTTTATTTTTTTGTACACAAAGTATAGAAGGAGTATTGTAACATGCACTGCCATCAAATGAGATTTTGAAAGTTTTTGCTGTTTTACACCTCCCTACTTTTTAGCATATGGAGAATAGAGAACTAGTTGTAATTGTGTGAGAAAACTAAATAGAGATTTTGAAAAATCTTGATGTTTTACACCTCTCTGATTTGGAATAACTTAGTTTTGCAATTTTTTCTGTTTATCTATCTGTAAACATGATATCTTGAGTACAGTACAAAATTTCATATTTCAAAATATCACATAGGTAGTTTACTTAAAACTTTTGAGCTATGTCCAGTTACCGGAGGTGGTAATGTATTCTATTTCTGTGTGAACACAATAAGTTGACATGAAAATAGAGGAAATTCCAAATATAAATATAAGATCTTTTGCTTGGACAGAGTGGTCAAACTGTAGAGAGCTGGGCAGCTAACCTGTAAGTCTCGAATCCGGGTTCAAGCCAGTTGACCGTCCCTGAGTCCACCCAGCTCTGATGGGTACCTAACTCACGTTAGGGTAAATAAAGGCAGCTTGGCATAGTGCTGACCACACTATCCCTTTATATGCAGAGGCCACAAAAACAAGTGAACTCTACTTCACTTGCCCCGTAGACCATCATGTTTGATAGGGAACTTTACTTACTTAACTTTTTAACTTTTGTGTGACCTCCAAAATCTGTAAATTTACTTTACTTAATTTCTGGTTTCTAAAGTAGGCATAGGATCATTCACTGCTTTCTGTCAAATTTTGAGGGATTTCCAGTGACTGGAAGTAGAACTTTACGCTACTTCAGATTTCTCAAAAAACCATAATCGACAACAATGTATTATGACATAAAGTGTGATTTAATTAGTTGTTTAGTTAACTTTTTAAAAATAAAAAATCAGTTTCATTTATAATTTACTAATTTTAAGCTCTTTTATACACACAATGTTTGTGTTCATTTGGTGCTGCTGTGCACAATTATTTTTTCAATGTGATTCTAACATTAAGTATTTAAAAAATTAAAAAAAGTGTTTGTAAACATTAGTTAATAAACACTGTAAAAGTACTTTCCGCATTTATGTTATTTCAATCAATTTCTGGGTTTCTCTTCTTCTTCGTTCTTAATTTTTAGTGTTGGGAGGGATCGAGCCTTATCTGCCAGAGGGTTTGAACTCAAGACTTTTTCGAATTTATCAACCATGAGCTTTGCCGACTCGACCATGCTTCCATCACAATTAAGGATTACGTGTCAACTGGTTATGCGCCATAGAGGCCATTGACTCCGATTTCAGCCTGATTTTCTTTTTGGATTTGCTTCCATAGCCTTTGTCCAACCAAGAACAAACTACAAGGCAGCAGTTGTTTGATTTTGGAGTTGTCTCTCCTAGAAGAGTGGCTGTCCCCAGCTAACGAGCCTCATCTGCCCGAGGGTTCGAACTCGAATTTCTGAGTGATTTCAGTTTACAGGAAGAGGTATGACTGATGTGGTTCAATTTCTGATTTCTTAAAAAATGTTCAGAATTCGATGATTTTATGTTTTCTGTTGCATGACTGCACTTGAAGTGTCATATATAAGAAAGTTTAGAAGGAGAGATCACTTCCACTTAATTGGTAGATGGACATAAGCATCTTTGTTTTTTGTAAGCTACTTTTCAGTTTTTACAACTACCAAAATAGAAACATTTTAAAAAAAAACAACAACCGTAAGTGTAACATATACCTGTTAGGAAGCCACCAATATGAGCTGTTACTCCAATCTTGTTTTTGTCTGGTTCTGAGACACGTCGGTAAATTGCCACACTTGTATCAGGGACAACTTTTTAAAAATGTGTAATTAATATTAGAAAACAGAATATATTTATTTGGCTATTTCTACAAATTTGTTTAGGAAAAAATCTCAATGGTCTAAAAATTTCATTCCATTCATTTAATTGATTTTAATGAAAAACAGTAATACATGTAGTATACATCTGAATAATGGTCAAAGAAAATTGCATGATTTTCTTACCAAGGAGAAGAATTATAGCTAGTCTAACTGGAGCACTTAGTAGAACACGTGCAATGCCACAGCAAACATTATCTTCCATTTCATTTGAATCCATACATTTGTAGTTCATCTCTTTCCAGTTCTAAGAAGAAAAGACCATAAACCGTATTTTCAAGAAAATGACAAAATTGGCTTCAATGTACACAGACACTTTAATGGGCTTGAAAAAGGTGGTTCCAAATGATTGTTGCCAGAAATCATATTTTTCAACCAATATTGAATATTTTTTAACAATTGAGAAATAAGTACAAAATGACTTCCTGTATTAAGGCTAGAAGTATTCAAAAAAATAATTACTAGTGATATAGGAATTAAGCTAACACTTTTAATTTAAACTTGGATTGGTAGAGTCAGTGTGTTGTGGTGATAGGGGATGTTATAATATTTATTGATGGGTATTGAACTCATGTTAGGGAAATTATAGGCAACTGGGCATAGTGCAGAACACATATCTCTCCATATGCTGTAGTCACAGAAACAGGTGAGCTCTACTTCACTTGCCCCATAGACCAGGGGTCTCCAAACTACGGCCCGCGGGCAGCATCCGGTCATTTCATCCGGCCCACGACGATCTTTTTGTCCACTGAATAAATGTTTGTTGGAGGTGGCTGAGGAGCTTTGCACAGAAAATTTAAAACAATTTGAAAATGTAGCTCAGTTAGATTGCTAATTTGGCGAGAAAATTCTGAGCAGAGTATCTAAGAAAAGAAATAGGTGACTTCCTGAAAGTATTGGCAAGTCACAGCCATTATTGTCTGATGAAGAGTGGGTATAGAAATTGGCCTCTGCTGCAGACATAACTAGTAGTTTTAATTTTCTGAACCTAAACCGGCAAGAGAGGGAAATCTAGTTTCTGAACTATACACCCACCTAAAGGCCTTTAGATACAAACTTGTCATGTTTTTGGAACAAGTACTAACAACTTGACACATTTTCAGCAGTGCAAGGTCTTTACGGCTGAAGTTCCTCACGTCATTTACATACGAGATCATTAAAGACCTCCAGCTGCAGTTTCAGTAGCGGTTCTCCGACTTGGATTCAAAGACTGTTTTTGAAGCAAATGGGGCCAGTTGCAAAGATGAACTGCAGCTGGAGGTCATTGAATTGCAAGAAAATTACTTCCTTAGAGACACGTTCAATAAAGGGCGGATGGGTTTTCATACATTTTTGCACAAGGAAGACTTTCCTAATATTAAAACTTTTGGATCAAAGTACCTTTCAAATTTTAGAAAAACATACCTGTGTGAACAAACAGTTTTAAAAATGAAATAAGTGAACTAAGTGAAGAACAATTTGAGAGCAAACGTGAACCGTGGGTGGGGGTGGACACTTTTCTTGGGGGGGGGGGGGGGGGGGGGGGGCGCCACCACCCTGAAGAGATGCCTTAAAGAAACTCTGGTCCCTGAACTGATATTTGATACTAAATGCGGCCCTCGGGCTAAAAAGTTTGGAGACCCCTGCCATAGACCATCAGGTTTGGAAAGGAAACTTTACTTAACAGTGCTATACTCCATTGACCGCTATTGTGTATTTTATCATGTAAAACAATTATTGTGACTTTAATTGTTTTACTTTCCTTGGCCACTCCGGTTGACTTCAAGGATGGTGTCACAGAGTATATATATGGAATTAGACTAGACTAGTAGAGGTTACTGAGGACAGTATAAACTTGGCGGTAGACGATTTGGTGCGAGAGTATTGTGCGCATGTTTAATAAAATATTTGTGGCATGAGTGTGACGCGACAATGTTACCGATGACTTAGGGCGCAGCAGTGAAGTCAGTTGGGGGTTAGCCATCATAGAAAAAGGACGTGTTTTGATATTGTGTAATAGATCTATAAGTGTGTGTTAATAAAGTTAATTCTATTTCATACTCCAAGTTGTTGATATCGTTGATTGTCGTCAGAAAATAAAGAGTGATCCCGTCCTCCTTAACAAGTTTAATAGTTGCAGTGTTAATAATAATAGAAGTATTCAGAATATAGTTTCATATAGTAGAATATATAGATGATATATAACACATACATAAACCCCCCATCAGAGATGGGTTTTAAAAATATTTGAATTGATAAAATTATTTTAAAATTATTTTCAACTGGTTATCTTCAATAAAAAAAATGAAATGAGTGTAATCGATAGTTCCCAAATGGTTTAAATTTTTAAAATTATATAACTATGAATTTTTACTGATTTAAAAAAAATTAGTACGATTACATAGACTTTTCATGCCTACAAACTCCCACCACTACTTTTAAAAACTTGTTAAAAAACGTTTTAAATACAGAGTAATATTAGATATTCAATTTTAATCAAATGTAATTCGCATATTTCTGTAGTAAATAATGTCATTATTATTCATTATTAAAATATTTTTTTTGCCCTGTAATAGAAAAGTAAAATAGGTTCTATTAATGCTAATGTATGTAAAAGAAAATTAAAGAATTTAGTACATGTAAAAAAAAATTCAGAATCTATGTTCTTATACTACTTATAGAGATTCATAACAGACTTTTTTTTTACAAACCTAATGATAACTTTTGTTTTAGTCGAGAAGTTTCTTTGCATTAAATTACATTTACTGGTACAGCATAGAACTAACCTATTAATAATTTTATATCTATTTTAAATTTACATTAGAGTTAGCATTTATATAAAGTAAAATATTATTTTTTCAAGAAAACTCACTATAACTATAGCTGCGACATGAGCTCCAAGTATAGCATACACACCACCACTTGCACCAACAAGTCCTACACTATGGTCACTGATGGAATGGGCTAAACATCCTGAAATAATTATCATGGATTAAATAATAACCCAGTAATTAATATAAATGATTTTTCTTTGTCTGAAAAGAGTTTGTGTACAAGACATTATTTTAATTACTTCAGCTTTCCAATTACCAGAGCAGTGCAAAACATCTTTCAACTTTTAAAAATACCACAAGTACAATAAAAAAAATTTTTTAATGAAAATTTAAAAATTAACCTTTTGAGCCAGACAGGCCGGAAAACCGGCTTCAACATTAGGCATGTATGTCAGAAAAGCCGGTTTTCCGGCCTGATGATCTAGCGTTATAGTCCTAGTGGCTGGTATACCGTGTTATTAAATATAATTAGCGGCGAACTGAATAAAACGGTGCATATGTCTTTTTAGTGCTGTATTATGATTTTGGGGAAAGGTGAAAGTGTTTGCATTTCGTAAAATACATTGTCAAAAAATATTTTTTTTAAATCGGTTATTTTATATTATTCTATTACAATTAACTAACAATAAATAGATGAGTTACTCTAGTTATGTCATTATGTTTAGTAAGTAGTATAAAACAATTATTGGTATATAAGTATTTTATTAGTGTAAACTTTTGTTGTACAAAAATTTTTTTTTTTAAGCAATGCCGCCAAAATCAAAAACTGAGCCACAGCCTCGACTGTTTATAGACTGAAATGAAAAGATCATGCAGAACTTATTTACCTGCCCTTAGTTTCAAATAGTTTAAAAACTAAATTATCTGACCTTAATTGCCGTCACTAATTCGACCCGGCTCTACGGTTGTAAACATTCAGCATGAACATAGATTTAATATCTACATCTAGAAATGAGCATGTTAGTCATGATTTTATTGAATTTTTCTCCCTACTTATTATTTAAGCCATAATATAAATCTACAATTCACATGTTATTTAAAACAAAAGGCCAAGATTCTCTTTTACAATGTAGAAAATCCAATTGTTAGAGAATAGCTAAAATCTATTATCAACCATTCTGCATATTAAAGTTGCTAGGCTGAAATTGTGTTGGTGTGTTATGTGGAATCATCAAGTAATCTGCTGTTTATTTGTCTATTTCACCACACAACTGTGTGCCTCTCTCTTCAGTATCAACATCATCAAACCATACTACCAACTATACTGATAACTTTATAACACTATTCACATAATTGTTGCCACAAAAAGGCAATGATTGCAGATTACACATACATTTTTAGAAAGTGTTTACACATTGGTAGTCATTGTAAGATTTAAGCTGTGATACATCATGATTAAGGCAAGAACTCAAATTTTTAGGTATGCTGGATAAGCAGGCAGACTAATGTTTACAGTGACAAAGTTTTAAATGTTTTCTTATTGTATTAATAATATTATACTAATTTAACTTTTAAAAAGTATGCTTTGGGAAAAATATGTTAAACAATCTTTGAAATTAATTTTCTAATTACCAGCAATAACTCCGAGTAAGTAGACGATAGCAACTCTCCACCATTTATGAACCACTTCTAATGATATGCCAAAAAGAATTTGAAACCCAATGTTGGAAATAATATGCAAGTATCTGGGGAGGAAATAATTTGATTAAAATATGCTTTAATAAAAACTATAAGAACACATTTAATACTGAGGCTTAAATAAATAATATTCTTAGATGCTATTGGGTTTGCCAATTCAAACCACCACTATATTTAAAATAGATTTAGGGTTTGACATTCACATAAATAGATAATGTAAAATTTTTAATTTGAAGGGGGAGACTAACACAATTGTATATTTTAAAAATCAAAATTGTAATACAATTATTCCAAAGCAGAAATTAGAGAAATAATTTTTTTTTTAAAACTTTAAAATTTTTATGTGTGCTGTAAAAATATCCAAAATGAAGAACACTGGCTCCTAACCCTTGGTGCATAAGCATGTATGTAACAAATCTCCATGCCTCATATCTTCTATTAGCTTTGTATACTAGTGGACTGTACATTGCCACTCCACTTGTTGCAGTTGTCTCTTGTCCTCTTTCTCTCAGGTCAAACACGTAGATTATAAACACAACAATCTGTTTAGTATTATAAAAAAAAGCTGCATCAAAAAACTTAATATAAATTTATTTATAATAACAATAAAATACTCTGTACAATCTATAGTATAATATAAGCCACTTGGTCTTGTGTCCCTTACTCATGGGGCAGGTGAAGAAGCGTCCACTTGTTTCAGTGACCTTGGCATGTGAAGGGATAGCCATCTTTACTTTCCCTAACATTAGTCAGGTACCCATTAGCGCTGGGTGGACTCAGGGATGCCATACACACTCGAGCGTGGGATTCAAATTAGCAGTCGAATCCTCTGCCATTTGACCACACCATTGAGTCCACCTATCTGAAACTTATACCATTCACAATATAGCAAAATATGTGGCTTGACAATAGAATTACTTCTATCACTGAGAATTATTAGTTAATGAACTTTATTTTATTAAGTGATTATATAAAAAAAGAATTTATTTCAGCACAAACACAAAAAATAACAACCCGACATTTAGGAACTGTTTCTTAACTGTTATTGATTACAAATAATAATTAATAAAAGTACATTCAGTGTACATAATAAATAAAAGGTAGTAGCTGTGTTTTACCTACCACATTGCACATTATCATACCATGCTAATTAGATAATTGTTTTCCAACATCAAAACAAACTTTAAAAAATGTAAATTTTTTTGTCATCTATCAAGGGAAGTAATTCATTAATTGGTACAAAGGGATGTAATTTGTATTAGGGGTAATCCTTTGGTTTAATTTTGTTCTTTGAACAGAACGTCAATGGACACGAGCGAGAAAACTCTCAAAGGTATTTGAGAGGTGTATAAATTAGTTTAAAAATCAGGCACGGCGTAGTTACAATTAATATGGTTATAAAATCCTGTCTGTCTGGTTTATTTCGGACTTTACTAAAGATTGGGTCTATTTGATGTTTTAAAAATTTTCGGTAACTAATTGAAAATTTAAAAACAAGCCAAAACAATTTGGTTTTCACGTGTAATGGCGACATAAACAATGGCATCCTGCTATTGGATAGGCCGACATTGATTTTATTGTACACATTGTAAGCTAAAAATAGAAAACTAGGTCATGGGGTTTTTAATTTGCATTGTTATTTAAAAACTTGAACTGCAAAGTTTTGTAAACAAATAGTTATCGATCACTAAGTTACTGTACAGCCAATCAATATTTGTCTTACGAAAGTGAAACATCCGGTTATAACTTAGGCTTGATGAAAATAAATAGAAATGTAGCCTTAAACTCAACAAATTATTTTCAAGTTCTCTGGATTTGCAACTTTTATAGCATTTATTCTAAAAATATAAAATTTCTAAATTAATTTTAGGCTTAAGTTTTTATTTTTTATTTTTTTTTACGGTCTAAATCTAAAAAGCACGTTTTTATTCCATGTCAACAATATTATGGAAGGAATCTCGTCAACTCGCTTGTCTCCATTAAAATGATAAGTTGTAAAATGGAAATTTATTTTGAAAAAGATCAACATTGAGTTTTCTAAACATAAATTTATATTATAGTGCAGATATTAACACTATAAAAATATTACACAATAGCGATCAAGTGGAGTTTTTAATTTATGCAAGTCTTCCACAAACATACATACAAAGGCACAGAGTCTATTTTATCTTTATATAATGGACTTTGTTTGCTCTGTTGTAATTTGAACCTTTCCTTTATGTTCAGTTAGCAATATCATATTATTTAACTTTACAATTGAAACCAGAATCTTCATTTTAAACAAAATACATTAAAATTGCTTAAATCTTTTGAAAATGGAAATAAACATCAAATTCAGCAATTTTTAAACAAGGTTCACTGATTTACACAGCTAATTTACATACTTCAATACAACACCATTGCTAAATTTCAAAACCAATTTATGTGACATTTTTTTTACAATGTTTATGTATGTAGCAATTATAAGTAAGAAAAATGTTTCTTTGTTTTGTGATAAAGAAATATATTAAAATATCAGGAAATCATTCGTAAAATCATCCCTCTGAAAGATCCTTCGAACATGCTGGCCATACACCATCAGAAATGAGGAACTGTGGCAAAACATAAACCAACTGCCAGCTGAAGATCCTCCAGAAAAAATGGGAGGGGAGACTTCAGTTTTGTGGACCGTTGTGAGAGTGAGGTTGTCTTAGTGTTAACATCCACACATCAAAAATAACATTTGCATACTATTACCTCAATATTTGAAAAGATGAATTTATTCTGAAGCATAGCTTGTAAGTCAAAGTGCCTGTATCTCAAATACATTTTCACGATTAAAATAAATTGAAATGCCGGTTTTCTGTTCCCACCCCAAAACAAAATCCCTGTTGTTTTTTAAAAGTGTATTTTTACATTTTATGACAAAATTTGTTTAATAATATAATAAATATAAAGTATCAATGCAAAGAAATTAACTGGTTTTATAAAGCGTATTTACCTCGAAAATCAGCTACTTGAGTTTTTGGAGGTGTAGGCCTAGTGTATGGTGGAGGAGATAGGCGGAGGAGCTTCATATGGTTCACTTACTGTTAATGCTAAGCTATTTCAGTCACTTTAATTCATTTACTTGTTACACTCTTAAACCTACACCATATCATATCCCTTAACTGAACTTCATCAAACATAATGAACATGTGTTACTATATAATGTTATGCTACTTTCCCATAATTTTTTTCACTGGTCTTTTCTCTTTTTGCCACACTTCCTCTCTCTCCCAACTTTTCCATGCAGAATGTTTAAAAAATAGCGGAGATCTGTATTTTCCTCCCTTTCAGAATGTTTTGGAAATGAGTTAGGGTAAGTGTCACTAAATAGCTCTGATGCACAACCCAGTTGCAAATTTTTCGAGGAGTTTAAATCTGATACTTGTTTCTAATATTTTGCTCGTATGTTAAAGCAAATTTTAGCTCACTCAGGACACTTTAATGTCAAGGTCCCATTGTATATACATTTTACTTCAACAAAATACCATATTAAATGTTTTAAGCCTTAAAAAACTCAGTTGAAAATCAGGTTGTTTATTGGTATATTTTGTTTTTTTTAACCAATAAATGGTGTTTTGTAGTTTGTCCATTCAAAAATCAATTTCTTCCTATTACCTTATAGGAAGATCTGATAAACATATCCTTTTGAAAAATGATAATAATTATCAGAAATTATTATGAAAAACAAATGAATAGGCTATAGCATTAAAGCTAGAGGCTGTAGTTGAAAGATAACGCATTACAACCAGCTATGATTTCCCAAGTGGGACCAACTACGAAGTAAGCTAAACAAGTTAATAAAAAGTCTAGTGACAATTTAACCCTTTCCCCGGCGACTGGGTGTAATCCACCCGAAGTCGCTATATTTTTGCACATATCTCGAGTCTCGTTTTATAAATTTTTCTGGGCCTCATTCCCATCTATAAGGTGGTTGGGGTGAACACACTGAAGGTTGTAAATTTTAAAAATATGCGTAAAAAAATTTTTTATGAGGGTTTGAAATTTTTTTATACGGTCCCTGGCAACTGGGTGTAACACACCCGTACACAATTTTGAATGGAAAAAATATTTATAGCTTATAATCTGGCTTCTAAATATTTGTTTTTATACATTGTGGGTTAAGTCATTGTGTTACATTTTCAAAGTTTAACTATAAATTAACAATCTGAATGTATTTGAGTGACAAAAATATCAAACAGGATTGAAGCAATCAACTTTTGTATTAAAATAATAGAACTTTAACACATTTTAATCATTTGCACCTCAGAGAGCACAGTTGTTAGATAAAATTAAAATAACTGGACATTTCCTTTTGCTGACAGGGAACTTTTGTTTTCTTTGACAAAATATGGGCACCCTCTTAGTGATGTTACATGAGTCACATGCCCAAAATATTTTAATTCTATACTGATCGGAGTTGCTTGGTATTGATTGGATAAATCTACTCCCATCTCTAAAATCAACCAGTTGCCCAATTAGTAATGATCTCTCCAGAAACATAACACATTGCTAAATTTGTATGGAATATCTACCATAATGGGAGCAAATATACAATGAGCCTAATGGACTGTTAGTTATTGTTTTCAAAGTGAATATGACCCAGAAGGTTGCTGAATCTCTTCATAGAAAATTCTGCCTTCAAAAACTTCCATAAGCAGAACTGAATTGACATACAACTAAATTGTTATTCTGCAGAGTGCCAGTGTCTCCTCTTGCTTTCTCTCCATCCCTGCTAATGCAGTCAAATATTGGTTGCATTATTTTTTTTATTCATGCACAGAAGAAATATTTTGAGTCAGGCTGCTTATATTTTTCCTGGGATTAGCACTTCTGGCAGTAGTCTGGTGTACTGTCACTTTGTCTTCCCTGAAAATATTTATTTTTCTTCACTTTGCACCATCAGTTTCATTTCATTATGGGTGCCAACTGTTGACACATTATTGATAGATGAAATGCAGTATATTGGGTAGACCCTATCATCAGAGCTGCTTGAAACTGAACCAGCATTGTCTTCAAGTAATGATGGCTGCCATTCTTCATCTTCTACCTCTGATACTGATGGCTGCCATTCTTCATCTTCTACCTCTGATACTGATGGCTGCCATTCTTCATCTTCTACCTCTGATACTGATGGCTGCCATTCTTCATCTTCTACCTCTGATACTGATAGTTCAGACTCAAAACTTGTTGGTAATTTTCACCTGCTATACTAAAACTGGCAAATATATTACTTTATCATTATAGCACTTGAGTTTAGACAAAAACGTAAGACTTGTTTCTGTTGTGTTCTCAATAACGTTTATGACTATTTATAAATCTTACTCTCAGGGTCACATCCTGTAGAACACCCACCCCACTCCCAGTTTGATCAATTCATTGCCCAGTATCAACTTTCAAGCAGCATTACAAAGTTGTTTTGCCTTTTTGTCCTCATTCGTACTCCTAATGAGGTTAATGTCAAGTTACTCTAAAATGCTCGACTGTCTCTATCTACATTCCAGAGCTCCCTAAAAGAGTACAAATCACCATATATGTCCTCCCACAGGCAATCTTACCCCTGCATTTCATTAACATATTGTAACTCTAAACTAAAGTTCTGTCTGTAACAGCAAGTCAGAGCTCCAGCAAAGAGTATAAATCACTACATGTGTCCACCCACAGGTTAAATCTTGATTGAGAATCCCATCAACCTGTAGTATCATATTACAGCTCTCCTATTGACAACAACATGTCTTGTGTTCCCCATGGCCTCTGTGCCATGAATACCTCAACTGTGTCAGTATTGTTACCCACCCCACAATGAACAAAGAAAAGAATTTACTATAAGAAAGTCTTTGGGTGTGATCCACCCAGTTGCCGGGGACAGGGTACCAAATATGTTGCCGGGGAAAGGGTTAAGCGCAATTTCCTTAATTAATTTTTTGTGATAGAACGAAAGGATATTTTTGAAAACTTTCTTCGGCAATATTGTTCTAAATTATGGCAGGAATCGATTGGTAAATGTTTCAAGTCGCTAAATGGTCTGGTTGCCGAGATATGGGCCAAAAACTGCATTTTTTCAAGGTTTTTTGGCTTTTCCGGGAAATCCAGGAAGGAATTCCGGGAATTTTTTTGGCCCACAATCATCCTTGGAACTTGCTTAACATATTTGCTTTTGGAACTAGTCCTCGATATTGCTTCGTTGAGGAGGAGATATGACTTAAAGCTGCGCACATCCATCCATCCATCCAGAAATAACAAGTTAATAATCGCAATTGTCCAGTATGGAAATTGCGCTAAAAAGTTGTACTTTAACTACATTGATTCCAAACCTACAACTGACTCATATATTAAAATAACAAAATTTAGCATTTTTGGCATATCTATCTATTAATAATTATGCCAAAGGGGAAGCTATTCTTAATCATGTTACATGTGGAGAAAAAAAATTCCTAGTTTAATCTTTCTATTTTTAATAACAAAAACTTCTACAAATGTTTAAGGTATGAAAAAAATTAGTTGAATATTCAGTCACTCATTGGGTTTAGCTTTTTTAAATTGTTTTTACCTAACTATTTTTTATTTCTTTTTTAGCCAACAAAAGTGGCTCTCCTGGACATCCACTATTGAATGTAAATAAAATTAATAAATTCTTAATATTCTTAAATTAGCTTTTTACAAATGCTATTAAAAATTGATAGTTTTGCTGGAACCTAGATTTTTAATATTTTCATTTACTAATAATTTCTTTTTTATCCAATAAAAATTAGGAAAATTAACACTAGACAAATCATTTTAAGCAAAAAACCCAATACATTTTATAGTAGGCTACTTTACCTCTGCAGCACTAATAAGTGGAATAAAAATGGGTGGTGGACAGCAATTATAATTGGCCAAGAAATCTTCACGCTGCCTTCTGGGTATAATAGATGCTATAGCTGTTCTCATTATACGACGAAAAGGCTTTCGCTCATCCTTTGTAAGGTCTTGTGTCATCTGCAACAGGCATAGAAATTTAAAATAAATTGTAATTGTTAGATATGATGAGAACCTCTTGGACAGTGTTGAATAAATATTGATCTGTGTAATTACATTTGGTGACAAGATACCAAGTCCTTCAAATAAAATCATTACATAATCTAGATTTCACCCAAAAAAGAATGCAGGTTGAATGCTAAATGAGATTTTTTTTAAAATTATTGTTTTTTAATAGAAAAATGGTAGAGGTAGAATAATTTGTATCTATAATTATAATTTATAAATCTATAATTAAAATATAACTTTTCAGCTGATGGAAACATTGAAATAGTTTACTTTTATAGAAATATTATAGTTAAAAGGTGTTGTGTTGAAAAAAAAATGAAAAGTTCCTACATACTTATAGAAAGCTAACTTGTAGACTAGTTAAAATAATTCAATTAAGTGGTTGCAAAATGATTTTTAGCTAATTCTAATGTTTTTTTCTATTCATCATGAAAATTGAAACAGAGAGCTAAAGGTTGCAAACAAAATACACTATATTTTTAAGTCTATTTTTAATTTATGTTTATGTGTATTGTTAGGGTTTTGATTTTTAATGATATATAAAAGTAAGGAAATATTTTTTGGCTGAGAATAACAATTATTAAAACAAAAATGATGAAATCAAGCCAAGTAAAAAAAAATGTAAATAAAAACTGTTCATTACAAAAAAAAACCAAATAACATTTGTTGATGGTAGAGATCCATCTAGTTCTAAATAAACATTAAACATCAAACCTCTTAAACTGATTTTAAATGATAAAATGGGATAATATGATTGATGGTGAGTGTGCGACTGCTAACCCAAATGTCTCACATTTGGATCCCGGGCATGTTCATAGGATGTCTCTGAGTTCACCCAACTCTTATGTGTACTTAACTCACATCAGAGAACCTACTGGCAGCTGGACAAAGTGTATATTGAAGTCACTGAAACATGGACCATCAGGTTTGAAAGGGTATTTGACTTATAAAAATGAATATATTTAGTTATTTAAAGTAAATTTGAACTCTTACCATTCTGTAAAACTCACTGTAGTTTATCTGATGATCTGCATTACTGTCTGCTTTTTCAAGAAGTTGATTCATGCGTGATTCTTGTATATGCTCTAGCAAACCTGCTTCTTCTAGTTCCTGTCGCAAATCTCCAATGGCTAGGTTATTGTCATGCTTTAGAGAATTCAAGCTCATTAATGACATAACTACATTGATGGGGTCCTATTACTAAATTGTTAAATATTTCAATTTACTTACCTTATCAAAAATAGGCTTAAAGTTCTGTGAAAGAAAAGATTTTTATGAGAGCAATTAAAATAAAAATGAAATTTGCATTTTAAAAAAAAATTTATATACCTTTTTCTACAACTAGCAACAAATTGAAAATAAGAAGTAAATGGGTTATCCATCCCCTATCCACAAATGCTCACTTTGGACTAACCATGCCTCTCTTCCTCCAGATGTTAACATCCACATTTGGTTGTGTAGTTTGCAAATTGTAATGTTGAAATGTAGGGGAAGGTGGGGTTTGGAATTTTTTGTATTTTTAGTTAGAAAATTTTTAAAAAAATGTTTGTACTGTTTATAGACCTACCAATTGGCAACACACCAGTAACTCTCTTTTTTCTTCAGTCACATTTTGAATGCAGAGATAATAATTTAAGAAAACAAAGTGAATGGGCGCGAGTTTGTGTCTAAGAATAGGAATTCATTTGGGGTTAAAAGGGTTTATAAATGGCAGGGTGGAAGTAATGGGATGTGGTTTGTATTGTGCAGTGCAGCTGACAGTCCATTTTCCATTGGGGAAACTGGATCATCTAGTTAAGTTTGATACTTACATCATCTAGCTCTCTTTTTAAGTTACGTAGCTCTATTTCATCATCTGAGAGTGCCATTTCTGATAAGAAAAAAATAGTGTTAGTTTTATTAGCATTGATTAGTAACATACTTACAACCAATTTTTTTTTCACTGAAAATTAATTTAATTTTCATATAACAAATTCTTTTGTAATGAGTCACACCCACAATTAACCACTTCTACCCAACCACATCGCCATCAAAACATAATTTTTTATGTTTAATATAGGCAGCAATAAGATGCCCATTCCCTACTGTAGGAGTTGGATACATATAAGAGATAAGCTTTACATTTTTTTTTCTTTTCATTCCTTGCAGAAAATAGGGCCTCTGTCAAAACTTTCCAGTCTCCACTGTCTTCTGCCACTCTTTATAGCTGTTCCCAATTCTTTCAGATACTCTTTGCCTCCTCCATGCCTCCTCCAACACGCTGTAGCCATATCTCCTGTGTTGCTTAACCAAGGGGTTACATTGACTGTCCCCATTGCCAGCATCCTTCCTAAGTGTGTGCCCAACCCAGCACTAATTCCTCTCCATGATGTGCCTTTCTATTGTTTCCTGTCCACATTTCTCCTATAGTTCTGCATTTTCTGCCCTGTCTTGCCATTTTATTTTTAATATACTCCTTAGTAGACTTTATAGAAGTCTGGATTCTGTTTGTTGTTGACTCTGTTGTTCTCCTTTCTCAGATTCATTTTGGTTTTCTAGTTTTATGTCTCTAACTCCATTTGGTTAATTTTGATATTTTTGCCTTTTGGCTGTTTAAGTCCTACTCACTTTCAAGTCTTACTCAAAGCTGTAACATTCTCCTGTGTGTTTTTGAGTCTGTGTGATTGCAAGGCTATAGCATCAGCAAATTTAAAGCCTTCTAGTTTTTGTGTCAGGGTCCAATTATTAGATATACGGTAACTATACTATGAACACTCAAACCCTGATGACCCGCCTGAAGCGCAAACTGCTTGACCACTGGGTACACTATAAGTTAATGATGACAGATGAATAAGGCTACTGTTCGGCAGCTATATAGGGAATATTTGAGATCATTGCACAACAATTATTAAGGTCATTGCATTTTGCATCTTCTGTTGGCCAGACTAGCGCTGGGGATGGGCAGAAGCTTTATCCGAGTAGACAAATCAAAATTCTTAGCAGAAAATTTCCTAAATAGACCTAGATTAATAGTTTAATAGACTAGATCTAGAAATCTGGTCTGGTAAGCTGTTTACAATAGTAGTGACGGCTATTAGGGGCAGATAATTTAGTTTTTAAACTATTTGAAATTAAGGGGAGGTAATAACATGTTCTGCTTCACGAGCTACTGATAGTGTTTTAAAGCAAAATATTTTCAGTGGCAGCATTGGTAGTGTCGATTTCACAAATTATGAATTACTAAAAATAGGAATTAAACTAAATAGCGACATATGATACATCGCATGTCAGCTCGTATATGTAATAATCTAGGTGGGGACCATGCGAGACAACCACGTAAAGGCTTAGCCGTTCCTACCCCGCTCTCTAGGCATATCGCTACCACCCCCACCCCACCAGTCTGGTGAACTGTGGTTCACCCCGAATGTTTACAATGTGACGGCTATTCGGGGCAGATAATTTGGCTTTTAAACAATTTGAAACTTTGAGAGGTAAGAAGTTTTGCCTGATCTTTTAATTTGTCTTCTATAAACTGTCGTGGTAGTGTTGAATTCACAAATTATGAATTACTGAAAAGTAGAAAATAAAACAACTAAATAGCTGTGCATGCTTCCGCCACGGGTCAGCTCGTACTAATAAAGAGACCTATATGATATAGGCAGGTCTTTTTATTAGTATTTCATATTTTTATTCTCTAAGCTCTAGGATACTCTATTATCTAACTACTTTCAATATATAATTAGCCATTGATTTTGGTTTATTATCCATTTATCTAAAATATTTGACACAAATATATCACTATATACTTCTACTAGCTGCATCCCGTGCTCCGCCACTGCAAATCTTTTTTGAATGTACCAACTTGGGAACAGAACAAAACTAAACACAACACAAACGAACGCAAAAAAAAAACACAAACAAAAAAACAAACACAACACTCATAACATAAACACAATTTAAATGCAATCATAAAGGCATATTGCTCAGTCTAGCCCTTAGCGCCGCCAAATCGCGCCCTTTCCGAGCGCCGGCGGACACGTCTGACACAGTGAATGACTACAAAACAGAGGCTTAGCGACCCTTTCCGGCGCCCACGTACAAACTTTCGATTTGACCCTCCCTCAAATTTACGATTTGCACCCCCTCCCCTCAAAATTTCAATTTCCACCCCACCCCCTTAAACTTTCGATTTGCCCCCCCCCCCACGTCGCAAATTATTTTCCAGCCCACTTTGGCGCCCCCTAAGGTCGGCACCCGGGGACACATGCCCCCCCCCTCGCTACGGTTCTCCTATAAAACCCCCAGCTTGTCCGCAAACTGTAAGATAGAATAATAATTAGTAAACAGTATAAATAATAGGCAGTATTTAAAATATCTGTGTTTTACCTACCATATATCACTTTATCAATTCACGCATTTTTTTTCCAGTACTTTAAATTTAAAAAATTTACAATACAGTTTCATAACTAAAACCATTGCGCACCTAATGAACGTGATGACGCGTCTATAATAGTGCGGAATAGTTGATTACAAATTATAAGTAGTAAACAGTACATTCAGTGAATAAAATAAATAAAAGATTGCCTTTTATCAATCCATGCTAATTATAATTTTCTAACAATAATTTCCTCTTCCACATCCGCACAATTTGCATTCGCATTTTGCTAATTATATTATTGCAACACTAATTCCTTCTAGGACGCCCTGTAGATTTGCATTCACATTTTTTAGCGCAATTTCCATTCTGGAGAATTGCGTTTATTAACCCGTCATTTCTGGATGTATGAATGTATGAATGAATGGATGTATGTGTGTCCGCAGCTTTAAGTCGTATCTCCTCCTCAACGAAGCAATATCGATGACTAGTTCCAAAAGCAATTATGTTAAGCAAGTTACGAGGATGAACATAGGCCATAAAAATTACGGGTTTCTTTCATGGATTTCCCGTAAAAGCCAAAAAACCTTGAAAAAAAGCAGTTTTTGGCCCATATCTCGGCAACCAGACCACTTAGCGACTTGAAACATGTACCAATCGATTCCTGCCATAATTTAGAACAATATTGCCGAAGAAAGTTTTCAAAAATATCCTTTCGTTCGGTCACAAACATTTTTTTGAATTAATTAAAATTTGGACCGAATTAGTAAGCATATTTATCCAACCACACCAAACGCGTCATCACGTTCAATAGCTGCACCATCACGTTCAATTGCTGCGTCATCACATTCAGTAGGCGCGCAATTGTTTTTAGTCATGTAACTCTATTGTAAATAAAACATGTAAAATACTGGAAAAAAAATTAATAAAAAACGTTTTAATAACTAACCAATGGTTTTACTAACCCTGCTCTTGATTTACGCTACGACAGAGCTATTTTTAGATAACATAAGGAAATTGCGCTTAAATGTCACTAGACTTTTTAATTAACTTGTTTTTATTAGCGTGAGTTTAATTTATTATTAAATTATCTCCCTTTTCAAAATTAGAAAAAAAAGTTAAATTGATTTGATTTTTCTACCCTACTGTTATTATGTTAAAATGTATCCACTTTGTCTAGGAATATAAACGAAAATGATACTTGACATTGATCCTTTTAATATGTTTTAGCAATGTGCGTGTATTCAATATTTTCTTTACGTTATGCAAAACAGTAAAAACTGTGGCAATTATAAAATAGCTCTATGTCGTTATATAAGCAAACCCTACTCTATTATTTTTATAAGACACTGTGGTGCACTGAAAAGCACAGCATGTGGCGATGTTTACTTTTATGGTTCCAAAATCTATAGCGATGACAGAAGGAAGGAAGGACTGACACACCCTCAGCCCGCTTATATTATAGATACATATCTATAATTAGGGGTGTCAAACTGATTTTTTAAAACAGTCCCAGAGCTTTTTTGAAAGTTTCTATGTCAAGAACTCATGATTCTAAGTTAGTGGGCACTAAATTTGTTCATCTATCTGAAATAGTAAAAAAGTTGTGACGTTTTAAAATATTGGTTTTTAACTTATTTTCAACACCCTAAAAAGTGCCATGTTTGAGAGGTTATATCTGTAAAAGTATGTGTCACAAACAAAATCTTTTGAACTCAACACAAACATACATACACAGTGAACAGACTAAATTTTTTTCAAGCCTCAAAAATAAGTACATCATTAATTAATTGCATTGAAATTGGCTTTTCTCACTTTTTGAAAAAAATTAAAAAGGGATGTAAAAAACACAAATTTTGTACATTTTTAAAACATCACCAAAAAATGTCTGATGAAAGAACATACTTCATAAGTATATCAAAATGTAGGGGAACAACGCTTCTTTGAATTTAAGTTATATTTAAGTTATATAACAAGAACGTTTGAAACACACATTTGACCAGAAGAGTGCAGGGGTTCACAATCTGTTGAAAATGCGTAAAAGAGTGCAGGGGTTCACAATCTGTTGAAAATGCGTCTTTTTAAAAAATTTGCAAAAAATAATTTTTGACACCTACAGTAGATCTGAGTAAACAGTGTTTGTGTCTGTGAAATGTGATTAATTTATATGCGATCCAATGGTGGCTGGAACAGTGCTAGGGTCACATAAAGAAATTTTTGTTGTTGAAATAATTATTAGTCTCTAGAACCAGTAGTACATTTAAAAGTAACAACATATATTTAGAATGCCTCAGTTGATGTATCTTTATGTTATAAATATGTATTTTTACATAGCTGGTTCACAATTTTTGCAATATGGTATGGCTACACCATGATACACTTGCTTTTAAATACATCTACGTAGTTTAAATAGATAACCATTCTAGTCTTGCATTCTCACCCCTTAGTGTCTTAACAGTCGTTCTTCACAACTATAACCTGAAAATATGTAATCAATAGCCACAATAGTCACCATA